TATTTATTTATTTATATCAAATGGCAGGCGTTGTGAAAGTTATCATTAGCCCTTTAGTTGACTCCAGGCTTCACAGAGGAGGAGAAACATCAAAGTGAAACAAGTCGAGAGGGAGAGGGGGAACAGAAGAGAGTTTCAAAGATGTAAAAGAGACAGACACAAAAGTGGAAAAAGGTGATATGAGTACTGTGAAAGTAGTCGAATATGACATACAATGGGGTGAGGGTAGTTTGAAGTCAGAAGTCAACTGCCAGTTAATAGACTTTTTTGCCGTATGAGTATACGTTGCCCAGAGTGCACCACGTGTAGGTAAGTCTATCGCACACCCCAGGATGTAAACATAAAAGTGCAAAGATTTCTCTGTCAGCTCGGCTTCCAGCCTCATGAACTTAGCTATATCAACAAAGGGAAAATTCTGATTCAGTAACAATATGTGTTACCAGGAAAGAGAAGAGGCATTAATATTGCTAATAGTAAGATAAAAGCGTGTTTCTGTAGAAGCGGGACAGTAATCGAAGCGGAAGGGTTTAACGGAGGTAATCAATAAGCTATTTGAGGTTCAAGAATTAATTATTCACACGAATTCGTGAAGAATAAAAATCAATAAGCAAAGAATGGTACATTAGATGAGTAGAAAGTCCATATAACTCTGATGAGACTAGAATATTTTATTTATATTCTTAATTTAATATAGTTTTACATCGGATTATTTTGCGAACTTTTTCTCATTTATTTAATTGAAGATTATGGTGACTTCTCGGAGGTTATTTTATTAAGAAACATATAAAGTATATAATCAGGGTACTTCGTGTTTATGTTAGTAAATGTTGTCAATAAATTAATTCGTTAATATCCACTTTAAGCGCTTTGTTCAGAGGAGGTGAAATGAACATGAAATAGTAAAACCAAAGGGAAAGTGTTGATCAGTATTACCATACCGGATCAGGAAATTGTGAAAGTATCAGCTAACGTTAATACTTCCTTTTACACTGCCAACGATGAAAATGTAAGCAAATTATCATAGAAGTTATTTTTCTATTAATGCTATTCGTTCCAATATAAAGCCTTTTACAAGTCGTCAATAAGAGTGGTCAACAAGAGGTGTAAATACAAATCAAGATTGATATTGGTGCGAAGACTTTTCCTTAAGTAAATTTTAAAAGCATCGTGTAGAATGATTTCAAAACTCGGTTTGAGGGATTTGATGCTCGGGTATCTAGGCGAGTTCATATTCGAAGTACTCAGAGCCTGCAAACTAGCAGATGAAATTGAGAAAATGGATATGTCCTAACTGTCACTTGCGCATCAACGCACGGTCAATCGCTTCATCTTACCTCATTTCGTCTACTTTTCACAATTCAGGATATCAATGCATACTAATTGAGTCTGATTTTTAGTTCCGATTCCGCTTTCTATATCTTTCCCTTTTTCTGTTCATTCCAAACTGCCCATACACTTTCGGACTTGTTTATCACTTAGATTTCTTACTCAAGAAGAGCATCTGCAGCCTATCAGTGTTGGAAAGACCATTGGCCTTACGATAAAGTATTTTATTTATCAGTCATCGTCTACTTCAAATATCCTTTTTTATAATTTACATAGCTCCTTTTTATTCATCCCAGAAAAAGACCTATTGATGTTAGAGATTGCACAAGGGTAAATAGCTTCAAATTCAATATTATTGGGGTGGAAAAGATAGGCTGAAGACTCTTAAGACATCAACTTTATCCCACTTGCGTTTAAGGCGCTCTAATAAGATAAACATTCATAACAATGATTGCATTTATCGCGTCCCTTCAAAAGCAGACATACCGCCACCTTTGTTTTATAATCAAAATCGCTCTAATACTGGAAGGAACTAACGAAATTCGAAATGCCGATCAGTTGCTCCATCCATCTTCAGAGTAGCGGAGTCGTTAGGCGACAATGGCCAAGACAGAAACAAATACTCGCCTGTACAATTTTTCAACTGGCAGATCTCACATTACTAATAGTCGCTCTGATTTTACAAGACCCAACGATTAAGTACAACTAAATAGTACTTGATCAACTCGTTCTATTCCAGATGAGCAATAGCGACTTTGGCGCTTAATTGCGTCAGTAGTTAGTCCCGAATCTAACGGGTGAGAAACTCGATATTCAAACAACTTTAACCAGTGCGTCTAATGCATGGCACTTCGCTCTTGACAAAACTGCTTAATATGTATCTACACGTTAATAACATAAGTCTCAAGATAATAAGCCAGGAGGAAAGAATCAAAATAAAACCACTAATTTGATTAAGTGTATAAGTGAAATAATAAATCAACAGGTAGTATGGAATAGACCGGCGACACGATGGCCCTCAGAAACAAGTTTATTGTAAGTCGCCATGGCAACAGGAGTTCGCTCCACAATGACTTTGAAGTTAAGATCTTCGAGATCCTTAACAATGGCAGGAGGAATATGCAGGAAGGTCCATTGACCACGTGTCAGAACTATGTACTCGGCGTCTTTGTTTTTCAACTCTTCAACATCCTCCCGAGTTATCCCATGCCAATGAGAGGTACCTGTAAAGCGAAAGAACTTAAGACTGGATATCCCTTTAATAGTCAGACCCACATACGATTAATAAAACATGAACTTTGCGACTGAAAGCAGACACCTATAACAATATTCAACAAGGTCTAAAAATTTAAAGGAATAAAGTCCATTGGGAAAATGAAGAACTAATCGTAGGAGGAACTAGGTAGCACTATTGCTTCAAGATTTGAATAAAATTATTAGTATTTCAAATGGAAGGCTTTATCATATTTAACATTAGCCTTTAGTTGACTTCAGCTTTCCAAATAGAGAGGGGGGAAGAATATATATAGCAGTTAATTAATAGCAGTTCATTAGTTGATCAAATGCCGAGTAATAGACTTTTTTGCCGTATGAATATACGTTGCCCAGGGTGCACCACGTGAAGGTAAGTATATCGCCCATCCCGATTGGAATAAAATAAATATACCGATGTCCACTGGCATCAATACGACTATACACTCGGTAGACTAAGAAGTATCAGATTAGAAATTCCACGACTCAAGAGCATTTCCAATAATAAGAAATTCAGGCACCGTGATCGATTAGAATAGCTAAGGTTTAGCCAAAAGAAAACCAATGCAACTTCTAACACAAACCTAGTCAAGTAATTAAACAGACAGAAATGCGTAAATAAAACCCCTGAAAAGTACATAAAATAAGGAAAGTTAACAAAT